GTGTTCCCTTGAGCTGAAGTAGGTTAGAGAGACAGCATCAGCCATAGGAGGCAATTGGCAGAGAGATTATGAATTCACTGGACCCAAGAAGTCAAAGCTGAGATAACCATGGGGATATAAGGCCCCTGAGAATCCTCAGAGATCTGGAGCGATGCTGGCCTTCTGTGAAGACAGGATGGAGGTGGAGATGTTTTTATTTATATCTCAACAGGAGAGAGGAACCTTAGGACCTAGGCCACTGCTGTTGGGTAAAACAGCGTCCCTCTGGGTGCCCAGGTTCGGGACTGGGAGAACTCCAGTTCTGGGAGGAACCAGGGGGCCTAGGTGGATCCGACGCAGAGGAAAGTTAGATTGAAAAGGAACCGTTTCCACTGCAGCAAACACTAGGGTTCAGAAAGCATGTTGTTTCAGGGGCAGCCAGAGAAAAGGAACCTGGAATTCGGCCAGCACCCCAGGATGCCAAACTGGGGGTCATAGAGACTGGGGGGGGGGGATGTTGGAGACGCTGGAAGACAGCGAGGACCACTGGCCACAGATCTGTTGGGCAGCTAAGGAACCTGGACTTTGCCCCGGCGGAGAGGGGCCCAGGGGAGGGACTTCAGAAATAAACCACTATCAGCCACAGCGGAGGAAGGGTCAGCCGGGAACAGATCAAAGACAGGCCAGCCAGGGGGCGCCACACAGCCCCATGAGCAATAGCGAAGGCAGGCCTTCTAACCTAGCCTCAGTCCGGTCTTCCTGGCGGTGCACCCAGCAGGCTGGTCTGAGGGTGTTCCTACCGAAACTTGCTCCAGGAAGGCAGAGAGAGCGCATCTCTTCGATTGATTAACAGTGACTGCCCGGAGCGCGGTCAGGAACTCCGACCGCAGAGCCCGGGAAGGAGAGCCACCGCTGATTGGTGATGTCTGAGGCAGGCGGTCAGGGGGTGTGGCAGCGCTCATTCATTCATCCATACCCGGTCCACAGCAGTTTACCTCCTCCGTGCCTGGCCCGTGTGCTCTGAAGCTGTGCTCTTCGCAGGGTCTCAAAAGGCTCAGCTGCAGAAAGAGCAAAAGTGCCCACAGCCCAGGCTCCACTCTGCTCTGGCCCTTCTCCCTTGGAGCCTCTTTGAGGTTTTGGAAAACGCCTGTGTCTCACTCTCTCGGGATCTTGAACAAATTAGCTGCGTGGTAGCTATTTGTGGAAGGAAGAAAGTAAATGCGGGAATCACCATATTTTCCACTTTTTTATTCATTTAACAAAGAAACCAATATATACATTTTGCAAGGCCTTTTCGAGGATTTGGAGATGAATTAGACCCAATCTTCGCCTTCTAGGAATTCATAGCTCATCTGGAGATTAGACATGTGCCCAAATATCTGTAAAACCAGGTCGTTATTTATAAATACAAGTTCCTTGGGGGTGCCCGGCTTCAGGAAGGCAAACAGAGCTTGTCTGGGGTCTGGGGTATCAGAGGGGAGGAGTGTGCCAAGGTGAGAACCAGGATGGGGGGGGGGCGCGGTAGCAAAGGAAAAGCCAGCTGCCCTTCCTCTGGCCCCCCACCCCCACCCCACCTCCCAGGCAGGTCCCCCTCCATGCCTCCCTGTGCTCCTGGAGCCTGGAAACAGAACACAGCTGTGCAGGATTGGCGGCAGCAAGAGGTCAGAGTGACAATGGCATTACAAGTCCCTTTGAAGGAAACACTTGGAGATGTCCAAGTCTTGCTCTGAGAAGGCCAGACTGTCACTGGGCTACTGGTGATGACTACGTTGCTGCTCAGAAAACAGCATGGACAGAGGGAGGCAAGTGCAGTGCCAGCTCCGGCCTCCCAGCTGGCCTACCATGGCTGACCACAGCACAGCACGTGCCCACATCTCCGCCCTGGATCACCGGCATGAGGGGCTCTGTGGGTTCTTCCAGCTCCCAGCACAGTCCCTGCATGCTGTTACCTGTTCTGGCCCCTGGGACCTGCCCCTCCTCCTCGCAGGCTGGTGAGAAAGGGGAGAGGGGTGAGGGTGGGTCGGAGAAAAAAGGACAGCCCAGGGCCCTTGGAGGACTCAGGTTGGTAGAGGGAGGGTAGGAGGATGTCTCAGGCCAGAGTGATGGTGATGGGGACAGGAAGGAGTCACTGTGTGGGGAGACAGAATCCACCTGGGACCCTGGCCCAGCTGTGAGCCCAGAAAGGGGCCCAGGGACTCATGGACCGCCCTCCCCAGAACTTAAGCCTCTCTTCTGGGATGATGTGGGGCCGGAACCAGGAAGCAGTGCAGCTGATGTGCACAGAGTTTTTGAAGTTTTATAAAGCTGGGTGGAGCTGGGAACTCCGAGTCCTGGAGCAGTTCTTTGTGGTTTGTGTCCTGCAGAGAGCAGGAAGCATGCATGCTGCAGGAACCAGGCAGGCACTCAGAGGTACACACACAGACATATGTGTCACTCGCAGGTCCCCTGGGTCCCTCTGTGGCTGGTGATTGATGAGCCATCACCGGCACGTGGGCTCAGGACGCAGAGCAAACAACAAAGCAGGAGGCTGTGCCGCAAACAAACCTGCAGGGCTCTGTGATCACAAACCCTCCGCTGGACTGGGACGTGAGGGGGGTGGCTCTTCATAATTTTTATCCTGTCGAGGGTCTTCTTGCCTGGCTGCTTCCATAAAATGGCCTGAAAGGCTGCCAGTGAAAATTGGCAATCTCAATCTACCTCAAATGGATCTCCCTTCCCTGGGAATATCTGAAAGCGTGTATACAGATGTGCATGTGTACACAAGAAGGAGTGTACATTTGTGTGTGTGTGTGTGTGTGTCTATGCACAAACACAAGCTGCTGTACTGGGGGAGAAGCTGGAAAAAGAAAGAAAAGCATGAACTTTCAATCGTTCACACACATATGTGCACACATGTGCACACAGAGCTATACACACACACCCACGTCCACCCATCCACATTTTTGGCCCGGCCTGTATCCCACATCAGTGATTCTAAATCACTTTTTTGTCAGAAACCTGAGCCCACTTAAACCAGTAGCTCTCAATCTTGCCAGCACTTTGGAATCACTTAGGGAGCTTTTAAAAATCCCAATGCCAGGGACGCTTGGGTGGCTCAGTTGGTTGAGCACCGACTTTGGCTCAGGTCATGATCTCACAGTTCATGGGTTCAAGCTCGGTGTTGGGCTCTGTGCTGACAGCTCAGAGCCTGGAGCCTGCTTTGGATTCTGTGTCTCCCTCTCTCTCTGCCCCTACCTCTCTCTCTCTCTCTCAAAATTAAACATTAAAAAATCCCAATGCCCAAGTCACACTCCACCAATACATCAGAATTTCTGGAGATGGGACTTTGGCATAAATATTTCATATCAATAATCATAATCTCCTTAGGTGATTCCAATGTCCCGCCAGGGCTAGGTATTCCTAAAAGTCCTTCTCCCATTCCTCTGCACAGAGAAAACTTCTGTTCATCCTTAAAGACCCAACTCCCAAGGCCTCTTTGGAGGAATTGCCTGAAATTCCCAACGACATCTTAGTCATCTGACTGTATCGTAATTATTTGCTTATCTGCCTGTACAGGTCCATGAGCTCCGTGAAGACAGGTGCTGTGTGAGATCCATTCCTCCATTGTGAACACCCAGCTTAATGTCTGATAATGCAGCTAATGACCAATAGATGCTTCAGAACGAAAGGGAAGTATGTTACAAAGGCCAGGAATAAGAAAGGGGTGGGAGCGGAAGCCACAGGTTGTTTTTGGGTGGTAAGGCCATGGGGTCTGGTCCCCTGGCAGCAGGATGAGGGTACCTCCCCACCTTTTAGTAACAGAAAGGGTCCTCTTATGTCAATAAGTTTCATGCTGTTTGGTCCACATTTCCTGCTTCCCTAGGAAGTGTCACCAGCAATACTCAGAAAGTCAGGGAGACAAGTGAGTGGGGATATGACTTGTGCCTGGAGCCCTAGGTGACCAACCTTTTTTTTTTTTTAATGTTTATTTTGAGAGAGAGTGGAAAGGGGCAGTGAGAGAGAGAGAGGGGGGCGGAGAGAGAGAATCCCAAGCAGGCTCCATGCTGTCAGTGCCGAGCCTAACGCAGAGCTTGATCTCCCCACCATGAGATCATGACCTGAGCTGAAATCCAGAGCTGGATGCTCAATCGACTGAGCCACCTGGGCACCCCAGTGACCAGCCCCCATCCCAAGCCCCCATCCCAAGCCCATTCTGTCTTGCAGGGCACCTTTGCTCTGAGGAGTGCTCTGAGCAGTCTGGGTCCCCTACTTCTGTCCCAGATCCAGGACCTGTCCAACAACCTGGTTCTTGGCAAAGGGCCGTGCCTGGGAAACACTAGTGCAGGGGGAGGAGGCTCCTGTCAGTCAGCTGCACCTGCAGACATTCAGGACCCAGTCCAGGATCCGAGGGAGCAGACAGAGACGGCGTGGCTGGGCTGAACCAAGGGACAAATGTGCACCCTGCAGGAGCATAGCTCCTTTCCTCATCACCTCCCATCTCCCTGGGCAGCCCTGCCCCTGACAGTCCTCTCCCCATTCTTATCTTATGACCTCTTCCCCACCCCCAAATGCCCACTGAGGTGAAGTGATGTGACAAGGCCACACAAAGACTTTGGGCTGGGACTGGACTATGGGGCCAGAAAGGGGGTAAGAGCACAGGATTTGGCGTGAGATCACCCTGATTTGAGGGCCAGAGCCATCACTGTCTCCTTGGGGCCTTATTTCTTCATCTGTAAAATGGGATTAAAATGACAGTTCCCACCTCATAAACTTGTGGAATGGATTAAGTGAGGTATGAAGTGGAAAGAGCTCCTCACATGTTTCTGACCAGGCCTCCTGGTCACTAGTCCAGATTTGAGGTCATGGTGAGGGCTCCCTACACCCTGACACAGACACACACACACACACACACACACACACACACACACACTCACATGCTCAACTTCTAGGCCGACACCAGCCTCTCCCCTCCTCCCACAACTCCCCCTTAACTGACCAGCCAAAGTCCTGGTCGCCCACAGAGTCCATTCAACACGAGCAAGTGTTTTCTTTACATGTTTGGGCTTTTACTTCAATTTGAAGCAGATGGTTGAGCACAGATGTGAACAGCTTTGGCCTTTTGAGCACAAGGAAGGAATAGGCCTTGGCTTTGAACATGCCCCTCGCCACCTTACTGGCCCATTTCCCTGGTCCCTTCCTTCCCTCTGCCCACCCCCTGCATAACCAGGAACAGACCACTGGCCTTCATGCAGGGCACCATCTTGTTGTCCCAGCCAGGAGGGTGGGCCATGGGCAAGGAGTGGCTGGATGGGCTGGCTGGGGAGCAAAGACCCTTTAGGCTGGTCACCTTGGGAGACAAGACCCTGAGGTGGGGTACGGAGTGGTCAAATTGGTTTCTTTTCCCCCTTACTCCCTTGCATGATGCTCAGGGCCCAAGAAGCCTGGACCAGAACACTGACAATCAGGGTCAGAGGCCTAGGCAGCCAGTGGGAAGGAGAGAAGAGGGCCAGGATATCACATCCCACTCCATATAAGCACCCCCAGCCCCTCTCACAGCCCCCAGAAGGCTTATCTTGTACCCAGCCAGCTCAGGACCCAGCGTAGAAAGAGAGTGCCAGGTCAGAGGGTTGAGTGCTTCCAATGGTCACCAAATGTCCATCCCTTCCATGAGTTTCCTGTGGGATCGCTGACTCGTCTTTGGCTTGAGATGGAACTCGGGCAACAGGAGGAGCAAAAGTCCTAGAGCAATGGGGTGGCTTTTTGCCGTGGGGTTTTGTCACCACCATTTCTTCAGTGTCTCTGTGGAATCTTTGGCAACGAATTTCTGCAGCCAGACAGGGCCTCAGGCCCTGGGCAAGGGGGAGGCTTTGTTCTCCCCTCCCCACCAGGCCGAGGGCAAAGTGCAGAGTCACCAGAGTGGCTGAGGGGGGACAGGAGGGCAAGAGGGAGGCAGGTGTGCCCCTGCCCCACCCTGAGAGGCAGTGGTCTGAGCATCTGGTGGAATCCTGGAGAAGACAAGGCTGGACTTGGAGAGCTCACCTTCTCCTCGGGCTTGACCAGAACGAGGGCCCACGGAAGCATCCTTGGTCTAGACCGGGGCCAGTCACTCCTGAAAGAAACAACCAACCATCAGAAAAACTTGACTCTCCTGACTCTTTCCTAAAGGCCAGCTGATCCCAGGAGCTGGCACCCCAGCACCTCCTCTCTCTTGATCCTTGCTGGCTCCTGCCCCGGGAGAGACCTGTGTGGCTCAGGCAGGGGACTGCATCCTGAGGGGTTCAGTAAGTGATGGAGCTGGCATCTGGACCCAGAACTGGCTGCCTCCAGAGCCCACACTGTCCCCTTACTCCTCACTCTGCATTTCAGAGCCATTGCTGACTTGGCCGCTTTGGGGATATGGGCAGGGCTGCAGGGGTTAGAGGGGGGCTCAGGGACACCTGATGCTGATAACACAGTCCTCCGGGTCACACCTCTGAGGCATGTGAGTCAGGTCTGCCCCCCCCCCACCCCCCACAGGAATGACCACCGCAGCCCCTTTTCCCTATGCTGTTCAGACAACAGCACTATACCAGGAGTCCAGGGGCCTCCTCTAGGTGCTGTCCATCCACCCCACCAGGTGGGTGACCTGAGACAAGTCACTTAACTCCTCTGGGCCTCAGTGTTCTCCTGACACAGCTAGAGCAGGTCAATAATTTTCAAACTTCTTTTAAGCAGCAGAAATGAAGTCTAACCCGTGAAACCCTAACACAGAAAACAGATAAACACGGTCTGGTGTGTTTGCAGTAGCAGGGTAGGGAGGACACAGGGAGAGGGGGTCACAGGGTGCATTCCCTCCAACGGGAGACCTGGGACATCTCTGAGAACCCAGGGTGTGCAGGAGCCTAGTTTGAAAACCACTAGGTTGCACCGTCGTGCGCGCCTCGCAGTCCCGACCTTTGGAACCCTCACTCTGGCAGCTGAACCTGGTGTCGCTCATGAGAAAACTGACTGCAGGGTGTGACTTGCTACCAGGGACAGGAGACAGGGAAAGGTCACAGGGGCTGCTGGGACTTCAGGTTCTGGGGGAGGTCAGCACTGTGGGGGGTACGGGGGGGGGGTCCTGCGAGGCCTCCAAGTCTACCCAAACACGCCAAAGAGCAACAGCAGTGCCCTAACCTGGCACAGCACACTCCTACGAAAGCAGCTCCAAATACCGCTTCTCTGGGATCCTTGCAACAATCCTGAACAAACAGCTAAGTACTCGCTTTTGAAGCAAAACATCTGTCAGGCACCTCCACCATGCCAGGGGGGCTTTCTCCGCACCCTCATCTCAGAGGTGAGCCATCGCCGGTGGAGAGGGGGCGCTGGAAGCTGGCGGCCATCAGGATTCGAATGCGGATCGACAATGTTTGTTCTACCACAGAGAAGCTGCTTCTGCTGAACCGGAGGCTTGGGGAGCCGGGATGGGGCCAAACCACAGCCTGGAGGGCCTGCCAACCACAGGCCCCGGTGAGCCTCGCAGGCCTGGGGCGCCGGGCTTGGCCAGCGGCCAGGGTGCGAGGCTGGGGTAAGGCTGGAAGTGGGGTCCGAGGAGGGCGAGAGCTGGGCCAGGAGGAGGGGGCGTCCCCTAGCTAACAGAGGCTGAGAAGGGAGAAAGGAAAGAAGAGGGAGCATCTTGATGGGGTGAGTCCCGGCTCACATCCTCCGAGCCCACAGTGCGGTGCGCGGCTGGCCCCAGCAGGAATCTGCTTTTTGTTACCGAGTCTGAGGAGGAGGATTAAGAGGCGGAAAGGAAACCCGTGGGGATGGCACAGGGTCTGTGGTCCACGGGGTGATTTACAGCCCGCGTCAGCCAGTCGCTGGCTGCCTGGGCGGGCCCTGCGGAGAAGGGCCCAGAGCTCCTCTCTGTCCAGCCGGCCTGCGGTCTGGGGGTTCGGCGCAGAAAGCTGGCTGGGCAGGCGGGCCGGAGCTGTCCCACTGGCTACTCGGTCAAGGCGCCAGGGCCCTGCCCGGGCTCGCTACTGGCCCTCAGGCCCTGCGGAAGCCATGACTACCACCCAAGAGCAAGGGAGCCAGGTTCTTCTCGCCAAAGCCTGACCTTCAGTTCTTGCTCCCACCCTTTCCCTGGTGTCTACACTGGACTTGTGTTCCCACCGCCCACCTCGGTACAGGAATCCCAGCACACATATCATCCATACGTGGAAGTCTTATGTCAAATGGGGCGTGGTGGGAAGAACACCGGGAGGCCTTGGGTGCCAGGACCTCCTCTGTGATTAACCAGCTTTGTGACTTTGGGGAACTCACTCTCCCTCTCTGTGCTTAATTCCTTCACTTGTACAGCACACACATGGATTTGCACTCCCCCCAAAGGGTACGAACATTAGGCAGGTGAGGTTATCCCATCTGGGAGTCTGGGAAACATTTTAGACCTTGACCCCACCTTGGAAAGTCACTACATATATTAGCGTATTAAAGGACTGAAAAGTCCTGCAATGAAGAAATTCACAAGACTTTATTTACTCGTTGTTTTCTGAACTCCTATGATCCTGTGATCACAACTGCACCCTGAGTCAATCTGTGGCACTTCCCTCTAGGTGCCTCCCAGAAGCAGCACTCGGCCACATCAAGTATCTGCTTCCTTCCTGCCTACCAGCTGGCCCAGTCTCTCAGTGCCCCAACTCAAATGTCCCAGTGGAGGCAGCCAGTGGTCCAGCCTCAATCAGATTTCCTCCACAGATCAGCTGTGGCTGAGGGGTTAGGAGACAAACCCATGGATGCCCCTTCAGAAGGGGCAGGGTATATGTGTGTGTGTATTAATTACAGGCACATAATTACAAATGCGACAGAGAGGGCTGGCAAATACCCCCAACTTTGGCAACCGTACTACAGACCCCTTCTCATGAAACTGGTGGCAACATCCTATGTCACCTCATATAGAAGCACAGCCTGAGAGGGCCTCCCAAACCCCATCCAGCTCTGGGATTTATAGGTGGTGTTTCCTCTTTGGGCCAAGGCTCTGGGTACAGAGGGGAAAGGCTCTTGGCTCACTGCTCACAGAAGTCTCCTACATCCCAGCCCCTTACCACAGAAGATGCCCTTTAAACAGGTTCTGCAGTGAAAAATAAACTTTGAACACGACTAGGCAAGATGGCCTCCCAGGTCCCTTTCCGCGGTCTGACGTGCTGAGTCCGATGGAGGTGATTTGGTCAGAGTGGCAAAGTGGCTGAGTCTATAACATTTAGAAATCATTTTTTTTAATCTGTTCATTTGTGGTCAGAACATCATTTGTGGTCAGAACATCAGCTCCACAAGGACAGGGACATGGTCTGTTTTGTTCCCTGACGTAGCCCGAGAGCCTAGAACAGTCTGGACACATACTAGCATCTTGATAAATATTTGTTGAACACGTGAATAAATATTTCCAGTCACAGGCATTTTATTCACCATAGCTTTTATATACCATGGAGTATGTTTCCTGTTTCAAATGTAACTTCGCATTTTTGAAAATATGCCTATGCTTTACGGAAACTTGGGGTAATTGTTGTGAATCCTGGAACAATTCTGCATCATTTTTTGCTTTTGTTCACCTCCAGTTTTTTATTCTGACTCTATGTCCTCTGCTTACCAAGTCTGTCTCTGGCTTTAGGTGGATTGGTTTCCTCTTTTGATCACTTCTGTGTATTGCAGGGCAATTTTACCATTTTAGGGGCATTTAAAAATGACTGTGTCTGCTTTCTAAGGTATTTTACCTTTTATTTTTTTTTTTCAACGTTTATTTATTTTTGGGACAGAGAGAGACAGAGCATGAACGGGGGAGGGGCAGAGAGAGAGAGAGAGACACAGAATCGGAAACAGGCTCCAGGCTCCGAGCCATCAGCCCAGAGCCTGACGCGGGGCTCGAACTCACGGACCGTGAGATCGTGACCTGGCTGAAGTCGGACGCTTAACCGACTGCGCCACCCAGGTGCCCCAAGTATTTTACCTTTTAAATTCATTTTCAGTCCATGTTACCTACTTAACCATTTTTCATTATTTTTAAATTATACATTTTTTTTTTTTTTTTTTTTACATTTTAGCAATTTGGATACAGCCTTCTACATGCAGAAAAAGACATCTAATGGAATGGAAATCCCTTCTTTTGCATTAGTTTGTCCTAAAAAGAATAGTCAGGTTTTAGATGTTAGTTTAAAACAAAAACACAAGGGGCGCCTGGGTGGCTCAGTTGGTTGGCTGAGCGTCCGACTTTGGCTCAGGTCATGATCTCACAGTTCATGAGTTCGAGCCCCGTGTCAGGCCCTGTGCTAATGGCTCAGAGCCTGGAGCTTGCTTCGGACTCTGTGTCTCCCTCTCTCCCTGTCCCACCCCTGATCGCACTGTCTCTCTCTCTCTCTCTCTCAAATGAATAAACATTTAAAAAAAAATTTTTTTTAAATACAAGAGACAAGCAGAGAGGATGTGGGAAAAGTATTTTTCAAGACCCATGCTATTAGGTATTATTTTTTCTTTCACTTTTAAGTACACCCACGTTTGGGCTGGAAAGGGGGTTCTATGTTTGGTTCTAAATGCAGAACATTGGGGTTCACCTTGGCCCCAAAGTCAGCAGGCTATGGGGCTCTGGGCAAGTGAGTTAATCTCTCTATGCCTCAGTTTCCTCATCTTTATAGTGAACCTAGTAACAGTACTCACCTTCCAGTTGCCAAGAATCAATGAGACAATGGAGCGGTGCCCCGCCCCCCCCCCCTCCCCAGCAGGGCCTGGCACACAGTGGGAACACTGGAAGGTGCTGGCTCATGTTCCTGGAAAAAGCTGGGTCCTTGGTTTGACTAATGGGTGTTTAGAAACATAAAAAGGCATCACAGGCTGAAAAGTCTCAAAGTAAGTTTATGTCATCTTGACCAATTTGCTTTCAATGGATTGTTTTTAAAAATGTAGACACAACTTCTAAAATCACATAAGGCATGTCTCTTGCCTCATGAATGGATAACCAAAGTGTGGTGTATCCATGCCAGGGAATATTATTCAGCCACAAAAAGAAATGAAGCTCTAACACATTTCCAGAACATAGATGAACCCTGAGAAGAGTATGCTGAAAGAAGCCAGGCACCAAAGACCATGTGTCACAGGATTCCA